AATCATTTCAAGTTACCCTTTCTACTCCATCTTGCTTTTTGCCTATTTTAGTGAAATAACTCCAAACATTTGAAATTTTATTTTTTGGCCTCTTAATTGTTCAGATTCAGATATATGGAATTAAGAAGGAATTTCATCCTCATTCAAAATTTTCACATCATTATCCAAATTTATACAATTTTCATTATCACTTTTAAATAACATAAACATGAATAACACATATTAAAAATTTACACCGACGAACAACAATATTTATTACTATAGATATTATTGAATTTATAAAGCAAGTATATTGGAAACCATCTTTAAAAAGCTCGGTTCGGCAAAAAAGTCGTGCTCTAGTCAAAACAACTTCCTTGCAAATTCCTCAAACAATCTAGGCACTTTCCACTAAAACAAGTTGGCAAAAAATTTTAATGTAAAAAAATTATCAAAAGCATTACATATCCATATCCAACACCCAATGTTTGAAATTTATCTAAAATAAAGATTTCTTTTATGCAAAATAAAAATATAAAGATTTAATTAACAATAGAAAAATAAAAAATAATTTAAAATCTTTTTAATATTATAAAAAATTTTTAAAACATTATGTCATCCGTAAGCTATTCTTTAAACTTTCTACTCATATAAGCTATCTATATTTGCCTATCAATAGATGCAAAATGTGTGATCACTTTATAACATTATTGAAACTAATACCAAAGCTATGAAAACTATTAAAAAGATCAAAAGACTATTTATCAAAAAACATAAAATACACATTTTTTCATATGTGCAATATTTTTCGGCCATTTTTTGTGTTGTTGTTATTATTATTCAATATACCAGTTGACATTTAGAAATCTTGGCAAATGATTTATACATTTACTGTTTGTCTAGTTAACTGTTATATAGTAGTATAACTTAACATATATATTCGCTTTCAACTCTACCATTAAAATATAACATAATAATGTTTTTCTTATATAATCCCATCCTACATTTAAAAGTAAGTGTTTAATTTGGCTCATAACTCCATGAGAACTTCTAAGTATGAGTGTACGTATGTTAGGATATTTAAATAGTCAAATACACAATCTTAGTATGACTCTAATATATAAACTACAATCGTTTAGTCAAAAAATCAATTTTACTCTTTACCACAGGGATAAAAGTTTACTCTGTTTCCAACTAATTTTAGTATCATTGTCTTGATAAAATTAGTAAGAAATTTCACATTGCTCTAAAACCTGCACATATGGCACCAAGTATGATCTTTTAAACTGTTAGATGATGATGATTATCTTGATAATGTAAAAATTTTTGCCCTCCATACATTACACTGTAATAATTAAATATTGCTTTTTATTCCTTTCTTTTTTAAATAGTTTGTGATACTTGTAATACTAAAAATTATTAATATCAATAAATAATTGTCTTTTAAAATTTTAAAATTTTTATGCAAAATTTTTAAAATCAACTGTATATAAAATTTTACAAACCCACTGTGTAGCACGAGTACTCTTTAATTATAATAGTTCTAATTAACAAAGTAAAATTAAAATTGAGAAAATGTAAGATATTGAAAGTAATTATTTATAATTTACATAATTTATATGGTAAAATTATTAAAAAATGAAATATTAATTACACTTATTAAATTTATTTTCATTTTAATGACGAAATTTGGTAAATTCTTTTAAATTTTAATTACCACTTTTTAATCTTACACTTTTATAAGTATTTAGAATTAACCCACTTTGTGAAAATAATCTTGGGATCCCTCAATAATTTTGGTAAGTGATTATTAAATTTTATTCAATTAATTTTTTTTCATTATTATCCTTTTTAAAGTAATATCATAAATTTAGTCCATGCATAAAAAATAGAAATCACATAAATAAAATAAATAATTACAAGGTAAAATAGTGGGTTAAGAAATATCTCAATTGTTGTTGGGTTTGACTATGGGTGAGCAAAACCAATCTAGATCAATTATCCACTAAAACCAAATGCGATTTGGGTAAAATGGTTTAGTCTAATTGGTTCATTGGACCAATTGGTCCAAAATATTTGCTCTAATTGGTTTTTTGGTCGGTTCTCAATTTTAAAATTTTTAGACTAATCCACCCAAAGAAACCCAACTAATTTTTTATATATTTATATATTAATATATATTTATATATTAAGAAGAATTGAGAGTAAAATTAAGTAATAATATACTTAAAATATATTAAGGTATTATACATACATGTTAATTTCAAATAAATGTGCTAGAGGGGGGTGAATAGCACTTTTTGGCTCTTACAAAATGTGACCTCTATTTGGAGGCAAGTTTAAATTCAATGATGGGAAGTTAAATGCAAGATAAGGAATAATCTAACAAAGAATGAAATGAAAAATAAAACAAGGAAGACAATACACAAAAATTTATAGTGGTTCGTTTAAAGACCTACATCCACTACCTTAATTATTCAACTAAGGATTTTCAAACCAAATCACTATAAGTGGTGAAATTTCCAAGCTTTCACCAAGCTTTTACAATGGCTTTTCACAAGCTCAGCTACAACCTTCAACAATGGTTTTTTTTTTTCCAAAATCAACCAAAACCCAAAAACTAACTTTTCTAGGCTAAATTAGAACCTATATACTTAATCAAGCTAACCCAAGCTTGATTAATCTCCTTAGAGTGTCTCGCACACTCTAAGCAATCAAGGAGAAAAGAAATAAAGAGGTACCTATGATCACTAACCTAATCTAATGGTACAAAATGAAGTGCTTAACTTTGTTACAAAGATTGGAATGAAGTGTAAAAAGTATGCGGAGAGCTTTTGAGATTTTTGAGCTTCTTTTGATCTTGGAATCCTTCAAAACTTCATTCATGGCTGTTGGGAGGGCTTTTTATACTTGAAAAATCAACTCTGATGGTAACTAGACAGATTTTGACAGTTGAAAATAATTTAGGAGCAATTCTAGCCATTAGTTTGTCTTTTAGCATTCAATTCAAATTTTCAGACATAATGCTCTTAGTTGACTAACATTATCACTTAATTGACTAAGTCTTTTCTGTCTCTGAACCCAGTTTTTGATAGCAGGCTCTTAGTCGACTAACAACACTTCTTAGTTGATTAAGTCGTTTCTGTCTCTAAACCCAGTTTCTGACAGTAAGCTCTTGGTCGACTAACACTGTCTTTTGGTTGACTAAGTGTTCTCTGTCTCACAGTTTGCTTGAACCTGCCAACTTCTCTGTTGAGTTTTATCCAACCAACTCTCTTGATTATCCAACTGAAAGGCTTATTGTTTCATTGCTCAATTGTAGCTCCTTATTCTTATAAGATTTGATATTTGCTTTTGATGATTAACTAATTATTTAACATACATTTTTGTCCTGCACACCTTAAACAATATAATTAGACACCAATGAATGGGAATATTTTGCTATTATCAAAAATATATAGAGTCAACATTCTCTATCTTTTATTTTTGATGATAACAAAACACTCTTAGATTAATAGTACAATGTCTATGTTCAATATGAATGCTTCAAATCTTTATGCGTAATAAGTTCCTCCCCCTTAGTCAATGCATCTAGTTTTCTTTATATAATATTTAATAAAACCAAAACTAAGCATCACACATAAAAATTAAATATGAAGAACCAATCAAATTTTATTTAACTTAGTCTTTTTTTTTTTTTGTTTATGCAATTAAAATTGATATTCAAAACTCCCCCTTAATGAGTGCATCTAAATTTTCCTTTAATCTTTATATCAAACTTTAATGAATGAGAATCATAAGCACTAATAAACCTAAGCCATACAAGCTTATAGATATAGTTCAATAACTTC